TTGAAGCAAAGAATATTTGTGTAGTATAGTATAAATAGGTATGGCACACCTTGTGTGTAGCTACGGCAAATTGGAAATTTATACAGTTGGTAAAATGTGTCCTAAAATGCTCCTAGGAAGAATGTACTGATGGTAAGAGCTGTTCGGTAATGAAATACGTTGACTCTGGGTGTGATGGGGTCTCTTTCTGTGGGTTTTTTAAAGCAAAGACATGCCCTATGCACTTTACTCATTGGCCATATCCTTTGATCTGTTGTGCACAAGACCACGCACCCATATAGAGGCTTGAATCATGTTATTGCTGTTGGTTTGATGCTTTGTATTATGTTGTTTTAAATTGTTGTGATACACTCTAATGTGCGATGTTTTAACTCTGTTATTTGGTCTTGGCTTCATGTAAGCCGCCCCGAGTCCCTTCAGGGAGTTGTTGTTGTTGTTATTATTATTATTATTATTATTATTATTATTATTATTATTATTATCGGATAGCCATCTGCTAGGAATGCTTTGATTGTGTGTTCCTCCATGCAGGGAGTAAGACTTGATGGCTCTCATGATCTTTCCCAACTATGATTCCATGATGTGTCTGAATAGTTTTCATAACATCACAGTTTTTGAAGGCACACATTCAAAATTAATGAATAGAAAAAACCAGTCTAGGTTCCTAAGTAGAAAAACCAGAATGCTTTAGTATAATGAGTGCTAGACTATGACTCTGGAGATGAGGTTTTAAATTCCTGCTTGACCACAGAAGCCCATTGAGTGACTTTAGGAAAGTTACACTCTCTCAGCCTCAGACCAAATCAAAAATGACTTGAAGATAGGTAACAAGTTCCTAGCTAATATTTTTGCTGACATATAAGAGAATCCCGTTCTTGTTGCACTTGTATATTTCCTTGTTTGTAGATAAATAATTTTTATGAGCAATGATTGATTGCTAAGGCTGCCTTTGTCTTTCGAATCATTATTTCAGAGTGCTCTCTCCAGGATAAAGTATGGTGGAAGTTAAGGCCGAAACATTGGAAGCTTCTAACCTGCTCTATAGAAAATTTGTCAGTGAACCATTTATCATTCATAAATTTTCTTTCAAAAACCAAAACTTTTGATTTGCTGAAATTTATATTTAGCTCATTTGTTTCACAATATTCTGTAAAGTTCCTAAGTTGGTGTATGAGCCCTAGTCTAGACCTGGAGAGAATGGCTGTATCATCTGCATACAGCAAGATGGAGACTCTCCTTTTACCCAGTCTGGGTAGGTGACCTTGAAGGTCCATCATGACTTACTCAAGATCATTCAGGAATAAGTTAAACAGAATAGGAGCTAAGATACAGCCCTGATTTACCTCTCTGGTCATTTGGATTGGCCCTGAAATTTGGCCATGGGGGCCACATCTAACCTGTAAGCTATTATCTCTGTAAAGTTCTTTAATGAAAAAGAGCAGTCTTTTATCGGTTAGGTACTCATCTAATTTGGCCCATAGTTTGGATCTGGAGAGTGAATCAAACACAGCTTTTAAATCCATGAAGGCCATGAAAAATTTACCTTTCTGGGTTTCATAATATTTCTGTGCTAGATGAGAGAGAACTAAGCTATGGTCCATTGTGGATGAGTTTTTTCTGAAGGCTGCCTGGGCATCTGAAAGAATTTTGTTTTCCTCAATCAGTCAGTTTCATACAGAGAAATCTTGTGTACAGTTTGCCTGGAATGGATAGTAGATTAATTGGTCTAAAATTTCTAGGGTCTTTTGGGGAGCCTTTCTTATATATTGGAACTACAAGAGCATGTTTCCAGCTAGCTGGAATTTCACATTAGTTGTTTATTCCATTGTTTATTCAGGTGAAAAAGGCAGCTAATAGTGGAGCCCACCACTGTATGTTTGATTTTATAAATTCTGTTAGTATGAAGTCATTTCCTGGGGTAGGTTTTTTCGGGCTAAATGGTCATGTTCTGGAGGCATTCTCTCTGGACGTTTTGCCTGCATCAATGGCAAGCATCCTCAGAGGTTGTGAGATGCCTCTAAAATAGCTTTTCCAGATTATGGAATTGTACTAATTGTAGTAGGGTGGGAGCTAAGACCTCACAACCTCTGAGGATGCTTGCCATAGATGCAGGTGAAACGTCAGGAGAGAATGCCTCTAGAACCTACAATAACCCAGTGATTCCAGCCATTAAAGCCTTCGACCCCCTGCCAAGAAGCAGGAATATTGCATTCAAATCACCCCTGACAGATGGCCATCCAGCCTCTGTTTAAAAGCTTCCAAAGAAGGAACCTCCACCACACTCCGGGGCAGAGAGTTCCATTGCTGAACGGCTCTTACAGTCAGGAAGTATTTCCTCATGTTCAGATGGAATCTCCTCTCTTGTAGTTTGAAGCCATTGTTTCATGTCCTAGTCTCCAGAGAAGCAGAAAACAAGCTTGCTCCCTCCTCCCTATGACTTCCTCTCACAAATTTATACATGGCTATCATATCTCCTCTCAGCCTCTTCTTCTTCAGGCTAAACATGTCCAGCTTCTTAAGCCGCATTTTATAGGGCTTGTTCTCCAGACCCTTGATCATTTTAGTTGCCCTCCTCTGGACACATGCCAGCTTGTCAATATCTCTCTTGAATTGTGGTGCCCAGAATTGGACACAATATTCCAGGTGTGGTCTAACCAAGGCAGAATAGAGCATGGGGAGCATGACTTCCCTAGATCTAGACACTATGCTCCTATTGATGCAGGCCAAAATCCCATTGGCTTTTTTTGCTGCCACATCACTTTGTTGGCTCATGTTTAACTTGCTGTGCACAAGGACTCCAAGATCTGCTCTCCAGCCAGGCATTGTCCCCCATTCTGTATCTTTGCATTTCGTTTTTCCTGCCAAAGTGGAGTATCTTGCATTTGTCCCTGTTGAACTTCATTGTGTTAGTTTTGGCCCATCATCTCTCTAATCTGTCAAGATCGTTTTGAATCCTGCTCCTGTCCTCTGGAGTATTGGCTATCCCTCCCAATTTGGTGTCATCTGCAAACTTGATGATCATGTCTTCTAGCCTTCATCTAAGTCATTAATAAAGATTTAGTTGAGTTTAAAAAAAGTAGCACCACTATGCTACTTAAACTTTTTCTTTCTTTGGTACCTTTATTTCTAACAGCAGCTGACATGAAAAATTGGTCTCAGTGGTATTATTTTATGGTCAACAAATTGGTTACTTTACAAGCCCAGTCAATTCAGTGATAGCTTCACTGGGACACGTGGGTCATGATCTTGACAAAGTAGAAAGTCAGAAGTTTTTTTGTTCTCTGTTTCTAGTCCCTTATCAGGCTGGTTTTATTTTTAATCTGTCTTTGCTTCCATGATAGAGGGAGGCTGGTTTGTCAGTTTCCCCCTCTCTTTTTAATACCACCCAGGGATGCATTAAAGAACCATTTAACATTATCGTTTGAAAAAGCATTTTGACGGGTGGCATATCAGCTACATTTCACAAACCGATAGCCAGGCCCAGACAGGTCTCAGAGGTGAAAACTGAAAGCCAGCATCTAATGATAACAATATCTACTCGAATCTTATGAGGAAAAGGTAGGGGACAGCCAAACTACTGAAAAACAATCTGCCCATGGGCAAAAAGACCAGTATGTGACACTGTATTTCTTGCATACGGAAATATTTTTAGCTTGGGCCTTCTGTTATTTAATTTCAGTCATTTTCCTCCCACCTTATGTCAATATATTGCTTAAATTGGTCCCTCCTTCCCTCCTTTATTTTTTTGAGGGACATGTGTGGGGCTATTCCCAACTCTGAGAGTAAAACTGAACAGTTTCCAAATGAAGAAAAAAATCAGCACAAAGTGTATTCTGAGCAGTTTCAGACCACAATATACTCTTTTTACATAGCTATGTCCAGCTTTTTATGTCAACATATTTAAGCCTATAAGATCCTGAATTTTGTGCCAGTCATGAGCACAGAATTCACAGGGTTCAGAGCATTACACAGCCAGAGGAAAAACACAGCCTTTAAGTGAAGACACTGAGAAGTCTTCACTCGGATGTAAATGTAATTGGGAGTTTTGGAGGGGTCCTGCTGTCGCATGGATGAGAATGGCAATGAGCCACAGCTGTTAGCCTCCCTGTGTCCCCTTTAGCCCTTCGTGTAGTAATAGCTGGCTTCTCCTCCCTATCTGTTCTGTCTATTCCTGAAGAGCAAGCAAGGAGAGAAAAGCAATTAAAATCTCAGCAAAGCCTACAGAGCAAATTACACCAGTAGGGGATTTGGACAAGAACGGCCCCTTTCTTCAGCTGAACCCATTAGTGGGACCATGTTAGTCACCAGGAGAAGTCAACACATTCTGTTTCATCACATTAGCTGATAATATAAGCCCACCGCTCAGTAAGGCTCTTCTTGCAGTTCTGAATGCAGAACAGAGTACCTAAGGCAGAAGGAAAGTCTAAACCTTGTGCTTGCAGAGTGGATGAATGCAAAGACTTTTCTTCCCCCCTCTTCTTTTCACAAAGAGGTGAAAGGAAAGGATTCAGTAGGCTGTTTGCTTTGAAAACAGCATGGACCATTTCCTTCATACAGATATTGTGTAATAAATCCCCTTCTTTGCTCTACAAGGATGTTGCTTATTCTGGTAGTATGATGGAGATGGAGAAACAGAGCATGCCACTAAGTATTTGATACCACATCCATGGCCACCAGCTTGTCCATTGCAATTCATGTCCTAGCCCACTTCTTAAAAAAATACTGGACTTTCTATGTGCTTTTTCACAAAGAGATTTCTACAAAAGTTTTCCTCGGGTTTACTGAACTAAAATGTCTACCTCTCCAGTCATTAAAACCATGCAGTCATTTTTAATAAAAAATACAAACTAAAACTCACAATTGCACAAACAAACAAATGAATGAATGAAAAGCCCAGCAACAAAGCTCAACTAAAACTGTAAGGTATCTTTATGCTTCATCATACCAATTTTGACCAATATTGGTATGGAAGTATTTCTTGTAGTGTATAGTTTTACTTACTGGTGGGACGGGTCTTTCTTTAATTTTTTCTTCTTCTTCTTGAGTCTCCTCTGATGTTGTACAATCTGAAAATCAAGAAAAACAATATCACTGCAATTGAGTCTTGCTGACAAAAAACATAATTTGTAAAATTATTGTAAAATTTGTAAAAATATTGTGAAGAAAGATGTTAAAATTTATTCCCATGGAGAATTTTCATCAACAACTGAAGTCATCAATTTAAGCAATGATCATTTTGAATGGTCAAGAAGTGTTAGGCATCATAGGCATCAGTGACATAGGTGGATAGGAATGAAAAGGTAAGTGAGTTTAGTGGTGACACATATTCAGTGTTTCACTTCTGGATGCCACTGCATTTGGAGTCCCCTTGACTGTACAGCTCCTTCATTAGTAAGTTAGAAGAAGCTAATATGGCTGGCCAGGCCTCAGAGGGACAGAAGAAAGCAGACCTAGCTCTATCATGCCTAGGCCAAGAAGCTAATGAAAATGTTTCCCACATCCCAACTGTCATTGTTCTAGACTCAGAGGAAGACAAGAACCATTGTGTTATGTACCAGAAGCAGATGAAAAGTCCTCCGTCCATTTCAATTTCTGCTGCCATGACCTCAGAAGGAGAGAAGGCGGCAGTACCTACTGAACTCAATTCTCTACCTTTGCCTTTTGTTTCATGTCTAAATTAGATTGTAAGCCTGTAGATAGGGGGACTATTTTCTTCTTCTCTTAAAGCATCAAGTACTGTGCTGGCACATCATCATCATCATCATCATCATCATCATCATCATCATCTGCACCTGCATCTATAATGCAAGGTGGCAATATTTCAGATTTTTTACTTGTCTCATGAAAAAATAGACAAAAGATTATTCCAGTTAAGCCGGCAATAAGAGATCTACATTTATAAAGCAAATTTTACAGGCTTTTAATAAAAGCAGGAGAAATAATGGTTGGTGTACCTCTAGTGGCTGCAGGTAGCTCCCATATGAGAGAGGTAGAGAAATCCATCCAGGTTTGGGCTAGATTTAAAGGTGGTCTTTTTCAAGTGCTGTGTCTGTTTAGGAATATGATTCAGCACACCAAAGACGGACTTCAAAACCTGGATGTTCTCTTGTGCCTTGGATTAAGCAGTCCACCAGAGAAGGACTTGACACTATCTATGCTCCTGTACTTTAGTTCGGCCCACTCCACCAATCTCGACACTTGATCGCCAAGGTATTCTGTCTAGATTGGTACACTTGAATTTTGCACCTTTCCTCAGCTCTACTTAAGAATTCATTGCACTACCTGAGCCTAGACCCATCCTGATTCTCTTTTTCAGCCATGATATCATTTTCGTGTTGCTGTTGTTGTGATTGGGTTGTGTTTTTATCTGAATGTTTTTAATGCTGTTGTTTTAATCTGTGATTCTCGGGCTTGTCCCCATGTACGGCTCCCCGAGTCCCTTTGGGGAGAAGATGGTGGGGTGTAAAAATAAAGTTGTTGTTATTATTATTATTATTATTATTATTATTATTATTATCGTAACTCACTGAAACTCTGGATTAATACATGGAATGGATTCACTGTTCCACTCTTATTTCCAATGGTGTTTAAGTTTAGTTTCACAGAAAGAAGGTGGCAATTGAGATTATAACAAGTGTTAAATTCAGGTGTTGTCCAGATGTATCCTTCACTTTCCTATCTACTGTATCACACTAGGCATATTAAAACCCAAGACAGCATGCAGCCTCACCCATGAGAAATATCTGAAAGTCAAAGCCTATTGGATTATTATCCTAGCAGCAACTGAGAGATCCTTTTCTCTAGACCAGGACAAAAAATAATCTGGAGAGCAGATTATTCCTTCTTTGAAATGCCCTTGACCCTGCTCAGTCAAACGCTAGAGCCCATTCTGCAGGGACAATCTTAGGGAAAGGAGAGGAAGAGCTTCCGGCCACTTAAGAGAAGGAAGAGAGCTGAGGAGTATAAAACTGCTTCTAATAAAGATCCAGGCCAAAAGAGCAATGGACTGTTAGAAGATGCTGCAAAGAGACAACATGGAATCACAGAGGATATTTTCCCAGCTCTGAGTATATTCAGAATCAGATTTGACATTGCCGAGCATGGGTGATTTATAGCTAATTAAATTACTTCTGGCATGAGAATGGACTGTCTGAGTCAATACAAGAACTAGCCCTTTGTCTCAGATAATGCCTTTTGAATCATAATCAGCTTTGTTTTTCTTGACATGGATAGGTACTTCCCTTATTCTCCTATCAAACACCATTTAATATTTCAATGTGGTCTAGGGAGAGGGATACTCTTCACCAAGTACCAAACTTTCTACCATTATCTATGACATTTGGAAAATCACAAAGCTGCTCTGCATTTTGCAGATTTTTGTTGTTGTGCATATTCATGTCATTGATTCAGTAACAAAACATGAATTAAATAAAACTGAAATTTAAACTGAGCAGGCTGATTACTTAAAATACAATGCCAGTGTTGGCTATGGAATTTGGAAAGGCAGAGAAAGAAGGCTGAGTATCCCTTATCCAGAATTTCAAAATGTAAAATACTCCAAGGTATGGCTGGATGGTGGAGAGAACGAACCCCTTTGATGGTTCTATGTACACTGACTTTGCTTCCTGCACAAATTTATTGCAAACATTGTAATAAATGAAAGAAATTAATTTCATGCCTTGTCTTTGATCCTGTTTTAAAAGTAATTCATTATGTACATATGTGCAAATCCAGGCATTCAAATATCCAGAAAATAAAAACAAAACAAAATCCATAACACTTCTGGTCCCAAGCATTTCAGATAAAAGGTACTTGACCTGTACAACTGAAACGTGGTTGGGCTCCATTATAGCCTTTTACAAGCATTCAAGAACTGTAAGCAAAGAGACCCGAAAGGGACACTCCTCCCCCTGAGCATCCCATGTTGGTGGGACAGTCTGAAGAGGAATGGCAACAATATTCAACTGGTTGTAGGTATTCCATGGGATCAGGAACCCTCTTTATATTTATGTTAACATGTAAGAGGTTTCCACTGTCCTAGTAGACTACCACTGGCAGAAACATCTGTTTGTAGAAGACATGTTGGTGAAGGGAGGACACAATCGCATGAGAAAGTCAAAATTATAGATTTAATTAGGTAACAGTTAATAAAGTTGCCCAGTTTTTAACCCATAATTATTGTCTGGTGTTTTCATTTTGGGGGGTTGGCAGGCAAACATCTGTTTGTAGAAGACATGTTGATGAAGGGAGGAAACAATCGCATGATAAGTCAAAGTCTGTGCAGGGAGCATTTTAAATGCAACCTCCCAAAGTGCAGCATTAATTGGCACATCCCAAGAATATTTTTTTTCCTATCCCTGGAAGAACTTGTTGTAATTTCAGTAGGAAACCTTTTGACAGGATGCCCTGGTTATCAAGGATTATTAGAGCATCAAACTGGGCAAGAAACAAGACCCTTCCCTTACACATAATAATGAGCAATTGCCCCTCCTTTATAATTAATCACAGCATATCCCAAAACAGCTAGTGCATTGTACTTACTGTCATCGGAGTTCCGATAAAGAACGGTGATTCTTTTTGAGACAGGTATTCTCTGAAAAGGAAAAAAATGCATGACATTATTTATCATGCCGCTAAATAATCCATCTGAATAAATAAATGACCCATACATGTTCTTTTTTAGTGGCTCTTCTTTAAAAATGAAATTAACTTTCATGCTAAAGCAATTGAAATTCCCTTTGCAAGTGCATACAGAATAAAATTAATATTAATTTGATTTTTGTGAGTACTTTACAAAATGGGATTTTTTTTCCTTATTAAAGTTGAAAAAAGCCTATTTAGCACATCTTAATGATGAGTGAAATATTTCAGGAAGACTTTCAACAGCAGCCCTGAAGGTTATGAGGCAGATTTCAGCCCTGAGATTTCAGCTAAGTAGTTACCATAAGATTTCTGTGTAATCCGGCTGCAAATTAGTGCGAAACAATTTTCATGTCATTTCTTTGATTCTCAGAGGAATAAAGCAGAAAAATGCAAAAGCATCGTATCAGAATAGAAACTCTGCATGGGTTCTGGTAGGATGTTCTGTCCACAAGAAAGAGATCCATGTTTTTCTCGTGAAAAATACAGTCAGCCGTCCATGTTTGTAGATTTTGCTTTTACAGATTTATGGATATGATGAATATGTTCTCTCTAGAAAATCTCCAGGATTCCTGAACATTTCTATAGTCATACTGGAGTACCTAGAGATCACTAGCGATAGCATACTTTAATCATCATTCCACAACATTGGGCTTCAGCTTTATTTGATGTAACTCTGTAAGTTGTGGCCAAATATGATTTTCACTAGGAGCAAACATCGACTTCTCTTACAAGCTAAGAGAAATAAAGAACTGGAAAGCAGAGGGAGAAGAGAAGGCATGTCTATACCACAGATGCCTATTACAATGCAGCCTGAGCCTTGCCATATGCACAATGGAGGGCCTTCTTATAGCAACACAAGAGGCACTCCAAGAGGCCAACTAAAGGTCAAAGGATATTTAGTATAATGCCAAGTTTTTTAAACTTTGTGTTTGTAAAATCCATTACAACTGTACCCTCAATTTGCTTCTGATACAATAAAAATACCACAGATTTACATAAGTTTAGAACCGGATAAATTGAAATATTTTCCATGCTCCCCAAATTCCTTGGAAATGTGACTTGGAGTTGATAATCTGGATTGTATACACTGCTATACAATCCAGATTATCAAATCAGATAATACACATTATCTGCTTTGAACTGGATTATATGAATCTACACTGCCATATAATCCAGTTCAAAGCAGATAATCTGAATTTTATAAGGCAGTGTAGAAGGTGCCTAGTTCCCTAGCTACACAATGAGAGAAATAAGATCTCCAAGCTTCTCAAAGAAGAACTCTCAAACCTCACCAAAGCAAGAGAAAGGGAGCAGGAGAAAAACATAATACATGTGAGTAAATATCATACATTTAATATAATAGTCTCTTCAAGCTGAAATGTGGCTCCTGAACTACAGAGCCTAATATTTTTCTTGCACTAGCCTGGACGTTTCTATTGGATTACTTTGTCAATCTATTTTTATTTTATGAATACTTGCTTGAAATAATTAAGTCAACACATAACTGACAATGTGCTAAGTAAATTGTAATCTTTATAGGAAAGAGTAAACACTACTGAGTAATTGTGTTGCTGATACAATTAAGTTGTAGAGCAGCATAAATTGTCAGACTTATTCAGCCATCTGTTTAGAATAGGAAAAAGGAGCAAACCTAGCAACGGAAGCTATGAGTTATGAAAATTGGAAGAGAATAGATACCCAAAAATGAAGTGAGATTTTTAGTGTTAATCAACTGCTCAGTGATAAACAACACACATCTAAATCCTATTGATTAAATTATCTGTTTTAGTTGAGAGTAACAACTGATTTTACACTTCAGAATTTCAGAAAATGTAGCTGTATTAGAAAATGACAAAGAAGGATTCCTTTTAAGCTGATGCAGCTCCAAAATTGCTCTTCAAAGGAAAACCACACACAGCCCAGAAAACTCACAGCAATCCAACCACACTCTTCTTTATCTATTCCTAAACAGAAATGAAACAGAAATTCTAATGTTCAAAAATGATTGAAAAACATTTTCCTCCAGTGTTGGGAAACCTTGAGAAAGAGAACCTTGGACTGACAAGAATCTTCTCAATTCAGAACATATTATGCACAAAAATCCATGCATAGTATTTTTGCACATGAAACCGCATTTTCAGAATTCTGCCTATGCAGAAAATAATACTATCTTCAACATTTGCATAGAGTAATTACCAAACCACAAATAGTCTTGTAGGCTACAAAGAAATATGAAGGATTCTGCCTTGGATTTGGTAGACATTATCATTTGGAATGTCACTACTATCTTCAAAGCTAGATGCCCTCACAACTACTTCTTCTAAGATGTCTGGAACAATGGTAGATTTTCATTGATAACTAAATAAGGTTTGACTATGGTATGTAACAGGAGAGATGTATATTCTACAGTGGTAAAGGTTCTTGCAGTAAGTACTCTCTGCAGATTATCAGTGGCACATTGTGACCACACTTCCATATTTCTGGTATTTTCCTTGCCAGCAAATGCTCGTCTAGATTAAAACTTTGTAGAGAGCATTTCAGAACTTTCCTGCTTTCTTAAGGCCAACAGCAGGAATTTATTCTACTCACATTCTGTTGTGTTTGAAAAGGAGACACCATTATTTATTTATTTTTATTCCTGGCCTCGAAAGAATCTCACTGGATAATAGGTTAAAGGGTGAGTTATGAATAACCCTGGTAGAGGAGATAAGTCTTTTGTACATAAATCTCACTAGGCACCATGCTGAAAAGCCTTTCAATTACAGGATTCGTGTTCTGTGACAGAGAATCCGAGTTGCTTAATGTTTTAAATTTTATTTCAAGAAATAAAAATATGATGGTGATTACCATTGTTTGATTTCTTAATAAAACATGAAAGTTTAATGGAGATGCGCTAAAGCTGAAAGGGGTGCCTAGATGCATTCTGACAAGCAGCAGTAGCCTGAAGGGTGAATAGATCCAAAGGGACCAAGGAAAAGGATACCATTTTTGTCATTCTTGCTTCCACTATTACCACTCTTATGAACTTACAATTAAAAAATTACTGCTATGAAGAAAAAGTCAGATTTCCCAAGTAAGAAATCTAAATGAGAGTATAATTCATTTTTAGGTGTGAAAATAATTTCTATATCTTATACATCTGTTTAAAGATGCCTAATCTTACAGTAGGCTTGTTTGATAAAAAAAATGGTTCAAAACCCGTTTCGGATGTAGGGGGTGCTGTGGTTCGGATCTAAAGTCAATTCCAATTTTCACAGAAAAAAAGGTTGAAGCTTTTCAAAACTTCCAAGACTTCCGAATCCTTTGTTAATGGTTTCAAAGTGTTATTTCCTGTTTAATTGGGTGGTCTTTACTTTGAAAGTAGTTGCTTTACTCCAGAAGGGGGGGGGCAAAGGGAAGAAATCCATCCACTCTGGTTAAAACCACTGGGAAAGGAAAGGAATCCATCCACACTGGTTTAAATTGACACAGGAGAGAAAGGAGAGGAAAGAATCCACACTGGTTTAAACTGATGTAGGAGAGAAAGGAGAGGAAAGGAATCCATCCACACTGGTTTAAACTGATGCAGATCCATCCCATCCACACTGGTTTAAATTGACGCAGGAGAGAAAGGAGAGGAAAGGAATCCACACTGGTTTAAACTGATGCAGATCCATCTCATCAACACTGGTTTAAACTGATGCAGATCCATCCCATCCACACTGGTTTAAATTGACACAGGAGAGAAAGGAAAGGATAGGAATCCATCCACACTGGTTTAAACTGATGCAGATCCATCCGATCTACACTGGTTTAAACTGATGCAGATCCATCCCATCAACACTGGTTTAAACTGATGTGGATCCATCCCATCCACACTGGTTTAAACTGACACGGAAGAGAAAGGAGAGGAAAGGAATCCATCCACACTGGATGAGGAGCCATATTCAAGATCACATCTGTTTAGTCTGGATTAATGAATCAGTCATGAGAACCATCCTTGTGCTTCATACTCAGGACTACCAACTGCATGTGAAGATCATCATTTCACAAATATGCACTTACAGAAAATTTGCTTTTAATTGTAATACTCGTTTCTAATAAAAATGCTGAAAGCATTGTCATCGTGTAGCTCACTCTCTGATAAAAGTCCCCAAAGTATATTCATGTAGGTAGGTGAACTTTTAAAAGAATAAATAAAACAAAGACCTGAAATAAATTTTAACCAAATTTCAGTTTTAAAAAATCAAAAAGCAATTATTCTGTTAAGATTCAATCAATTAATTAACAAAGAGTTGTCAGTGCCCTGCACTCTTAGGAATCTGATTACAAACCTCACCTTCCAAAGCCAGGATCTTAATTAACTCCAACTCATATTAAATCATTAGCAAAAGATAGAATGCACATGCTTTACACATAAAACCATTAGGATGAGTGGCAACATTCATTAGTGATGTGATCTGATTCTAAAAACCTCATTTCCCTCATTACAACTTTTTTGTCTGTTTTTAGCACTTAAAAGAATTATAATCCAGAGTTGGTGTGTATTTCTACATTTATAGATTGAGCATAGTGGATTGCAAAACTGCACAACTGAAGAAGCAAATAAATAGGGGTGTGCACAGTGCCGCTTTTCAAAACAGCATCCAGGAAATCCGGCATGGGGTTTATCCAAATTGCATACTCCTACAAATAAATATGAAATGAATGATCACAGTGTGCAGTGCACTATGAGCATCTGCATTGGCAATGCATAATTGTATCAAAGATGCAATGACATTTTTGCAGACAACTCTGCTTTGGCAACCTTCAACTGAACATGGACTTTTACATCAGAAAAAAAGGTCTGAGTGCATCTTTAGGAGAACTTGTGAATATATAAATCACCACAAGGATGCCAGCAATAACTGAAATGATTGTTAGTTAATGTTACATAATTTCAGTTATGGCTGGCATCCTAGTGCAGATTTA